AAGCCACGTGAAGATTGCCCAGAAGCAGAAGGTCAGAAGAAACATGGACCTTCCTCCAGAGCCAACAGAGAGAGAAAGCCTTCCCCTAGAGCCAGCATCCTGAATTCAGACTTCTAGCATCCTAAACTGCGAAAATAAATTTCTGTTTGTTAAAGCCACCCACTTGTGGTATTTCTGTTACAGCAGGACTAGATAATTAAGACATGCAGTATACACATTTTGAAAGCAAAATCGAAGAAAATGTAAAGCATATCTAAATTGTAATTATAGGTTTAAAATAATTTAAAATTTGAAGGAAAAAAAAAGCATTGGTTGAAGGTCTATCAAAGCAAAATAATTTCCCAAAATAAAAACATAGGAAAGTCTGAAGCTTACAAAGCAAAGCATATTTCATTAAAAAATATTAAAATATGCTATGGTGAATACTCAGCACTATCCTCAAGAGTTGAGGCTGATTATGATTAGATATAATAGGTGGTGTTGTTAGTTGCTGTCAAGTCGGTTTCGACTTATAGCGACCCTCTGAACAACAGAATGAAACACTGCCGGGTCCTGCACCATCCTCATAATTGTTGCTGTGTTTGAGCCTGTTGTTGTAGCCACTCTGTCAACCCATCTTGCTGAGGGTCTTCCTCTTCTTCACTGACCCTCCACTTTACCAAGCATGATGTGCCTCTCCAGGGACTGGTCCCTCCTTATAACATGTCCAAAGTATGTGAGACGATGTCTCACCATCCTTGCTTCCAAGAGTCACTATGGCTGTACTTTTTCCATGACAGACTACATAACAGGTAGATGGAATTAAAATCTATTAAGAATGCACATGTTTCAAAGGAAGCTATTACTGGTCACAGCATTATAAATGCTGCAGTAAGTAAGAGCTTCCCTTTAGATATTTGTTTTATCCTTCAATTGAGATACATACAACATGGTGGTTACCAGCACATTTTCTCCAGGTAGACAAACTTTGGTTAAAGTCCTCGTTCTACTACCAAGTGGACATCCTTGGGCAAGTTATGTGGCCTCCCAAGTCTCAATTTTCTTATATTTTTAACAAGAATGGCACTATCCAGTAAGGTTACTATGAAGAGTAAATGAGATAATATACAAAACAAAAATCTTTGCACAGTGCCCACTAGCTGCATATTTATAGCTCAATAAATGCGTATATGCATGTTTTACTTATTTTAATAGCTAAAACATGCTATTAGAGGTTTTTATCCTCTCTCTATTTCTAAGAAAAGACTGAAATCGTCAGCCTGTCAAGAGAAACACAAGGAAACCTTCTTCCGGAAAGTGGTAGCCAATTATCTTCAATAAATAACATCATGTCACAGCAGCAAACTACATTTAAAGTGATATTCAAGGTACTAAAAACAACAAATTAATATTCCCATCTGTGAAGAGATCATGAAAGACTGAGACAAATATAACCTCTATATTAACTTGAGATAAATTATTTGCAGCCCCACCAAAAATATTATTTCTGCCTTTACTTGCCCTTGTTTGTTTTTTTTTTTTAATATTATGTCAAAATGAATTTTGGGGGATGGAATGCATGTGTTATTAAAGATAGCACTGTCCAGAAGATTTATCTTCCAAAAATTGCTTAAGAATGATTAGCAAAAATTGTACTGTGCAATTTGGTCTTCAAGCCAGCTAGACTAATTATTTAGTGATACAATTGTCCAAAGTTAATTGAAACTCTTCAGTTAGCCAGAGATAAAAATACTTGTATACCTTGAGTCTTGTTCACACACACACACACACACACACACACACGACACAAATAGGAATTATAATCCTTATCATAATCCTTGCTGTCATTTAGATACAGGCATTTATAAAGTTTTGGTGAATTTTCAACACACTAATAGAAGAACGTGCATACAAAGTATAAGAGGCTAACATTTAACATATTTATCATAGGGATGATATGATTATAATATTAAGATATAATAACATAAATACAAACCCTGAAGTTTATTTTTAAAATCAGTTACAAGGAAGCATAGTATAATGCAGCATACTATATTTTCTATTCATAAGTAATGAAGGGATGATTGAAAAGAAGGACTTAGGTCTTATTTCCAACTTTGGGACTAGTTTACTATGTAACATAGGCAATTCATGCCACTGTTTTAGGTTTTAGTTATTTTATCAATGTATGATGAGGGTGACTAATCAGGAACTTAAGTTTGGAAGCTTCTTTAATAAATTGGTGATAGTAACTTTATATCTGTCTTTTAGATTTTAATGAAGTGTGAAATATTTTGACAAAAATTTATTAAACCATGAATAATTTGTTTTAACATTTAGATCTTTCTAGCCTTAACTGTTTTATACCAAATGGAGAGTGTTATGAAAACTCTCAATGTGTCATAGATTAAAATCTATTTCATTCAGTTTTATTTTACAGGCAATATTGTAGATGGAGGAGGCAGGCATGTATATATATATGTATGTAATTATATATAATGTATTTGCTCCATTGTTTTATAGTGGCGTCTTGAACAGTCCATAATACACGACAATTAGATTAAGAGCTACTACTATGGAACAGCCACTCAAATAAGTGAAGGATGAAAAAGTAACTAAATTTTACTTTGTGTTCTGATGCAGTTTTGTTGCTGATTTTGTTTTTGTTGCTTTCTGACTTAGGAGACCTTGTGTGTTACAGAGTAGAACTGTTCCATAGGGTTTTCTTGGCTGTAATCTTTATGGAAGCAGATCAGCTCTAGGTGGGTTCAAATGGTAAATCCTTTGATGACCAGGTGCAAACCACTTGTACCACCCAGGGAGTTTCTTATTCTGATGTTGTTTTGAGGTTTAAATAAGCCTTTGGGTATTTTTTGTTTGTTTGTGTTTGTTTTAAAGAAAATAGATGTGAGAGAGTATAAGCAAAATGTTCATCATTCCTTAAAATGGGGAAAATCAAGTACACATGTTCTGGATAAATAAACCACAGATGATATGACCATAGCATCAGTAGGATGAGATTGCCTCAGCTGGCTACAGGAAAATGCATTAAGAGAAAGGTATCATTTCCAATCATTTATGGACAGCTTTGTAAAGAAATCTTGGACTCTCGAATCAATGTTCAAAATAAAATATTTAACTTTTATATAAATTACATCAATCTAGTTGATATTTGTCCAAATGCTGTAGGAGTTTGGTGTTTGAAGAAATTAAAGACTAGTCCATGTGAATAGTCAGGAAGGACTCCATGGAAATCGATTTTCGACTAAACTTAAACAATAAGTAGAATGTGAATACATGCAAGGTAGGGAGAATCAAAGCAAGATGAATAGTAAGAGCAAAGGCCAAGAAATGGAAATATTTGTGAAATGTGATGAAACTTATGTGAACAGCGTCAGGCATTAACAGAAAGAATTTAAGTAAAGAGTACATTAACAAATGATCAGATTATGGAAGACCTTGAAAGTAAGCCAAAGGAGTTGACCTATTTCCTGACAATAATGAAAAATTATACAATTTTTGGACAGGAGAGTGACACAATTAAAATAGTATTAGAGAAAGATTTATTTTCAACAAGGTACTGAAAAAATTGGAGGGGGGAGTGGGGGTAGTCAAATCATATAGGATGTTTTGACATCTAAATTGCACACTATTAAATTCATTTAAGAAAAATGAACGAAAGACAAGTATCTAAGAGCAGTTAAATATGGTACAAGAAGAGATTTTACAATTAGCTCTGTTGTCTAAGATAGTTGACTCTCACTTTATACTCAATGAAGTTAGCATGCAAAGAAAATCTAATTCAAAGGGTACAGTTCAGATACTACAATAAGACCATCTATATCTATTTCAAATTAATTAAATGGTGAATAATTAAGTTCTATCTGTTCTAGCAGAAACCTATTACACAAAAGCAGCTCAAAGTTTTTAATTTGCTATGAGTTGGAATCGACTTGATGGCAACAGGTTTGTTTTTTGTTTTTTTTTGAACTTGTACTACTAAACTTAAATCCACCACCCCCCCCCAAAAAAAAAACAAAAAACTGTTGCTGTGGAGTTGATTCCAACTCATAGCGACTAAATTTAAAAGAGAATTTTATGTTTTCTTTCTATTAAATATAAGCTTAAGACTCGGATTATGTAAAATGCCATTTCATTTCCTTTTTGTGTTTACTAATAGAAGTTGAGATATGTTAAATATACATTTAAATAATTTGAGAAAAAAGCGTGTTGAGAAGAAAAGTTCCAATGCTCTGTTTAATACCCAAAATATGTTGATTTCCTTTATTAAGTAATATACATATTTTTAAAGGTTAAAAGTTCATTTTGGAGGTAAAGATGATCTGCTAAAATATGAACTACCATGTTAATATCATTCATTTTTATTTATTATCTAAAGTACACACACCCACCCACTGCCCTGGAGACGATTTTGACTCATAGTAACCCTACAGGACGGGGTATAACTGCCCCACAGGTTTCCAAGGAGAAGCTGGTGAATTCAAACTGATGATCTTTTGATTAGCAGCAAAGTTCTTAACAAGAGGTACCCAATATTTTCTAACTTAATGTACTAACAAAAAAATAATAGAATAACCATGGTTTAAAGAAACAAAAAAGGGGTTCTTAGCTCATGATTTTTATTCACAAAGGGAAATCAAAACAAAGCAAAGCATTAGTCCAATGTCTTACAATAAGAATAAATAACTTCTATTGAGTCTCAGTAAGCATGGATGTGGATTCAGGAATTAGATGTTCTAAGACGATCAAAAATAACAGTTTATTTGGTCATTATTATAAATAAACAGACTTTTTTCCTTTAGCAAAGCAAATTTCTGAAATCACATCACATGTCATCCTAGACTTTATTTCTTTTAAAGTACTATTTGTTTAAAATGTTTTCTTAGTATTTGTAGTAAGTTAAGCCTGTAATTATACAGCAATCATTTTAAATCAGCTATAGGATACAGCTAACTAAACAGATCAACAAAAAGAGCACAAGGGAGTAGACAGAAACTGACCTCATTCACAGTGGCATAGTAGCTCTCATGCTTGAACGTGGGTGAGTTGTCATTCCTGTCTCTCACCACGATTCGCACTTCATGGTAGATAACAGTGCCGACTTTTTTGTTGATGCACTGGACTTGTACCACGAGAGAGTGGATGTTCATTGGTGGCTGCAATGTAGAAATTGCATCTTCTTTAAAAACAGTTGAAACTGAACCTTCTCATCGCTGTCAAAGCATTAATTATTCATTCAATAAACATTTCTATACTTGTTTATTTATAAATTGTTGAAAATTTGATCCTTTTTTGCACAATTTAATGATAAGAGACAACAGAATTATTTCATTGTTCAATTCCATATCTCAATGCATAGGGCCTCAGGTATCACTGTGCTCATGGTTACAGGATCGATAATGAATACACTAACAAACTACGAGTAGAAATTGACTCTACAGCACCTAACCACAACAACAATAACAAAACCAAGCTGAGATTTGATAGGATGAAACAAACTTTGTCTCTTCGAAGGCTAAAGAAGCAATAGTATGAACCGCTAATTTATAAAAAACATTGTGTTAACGATAAAAACCCGGTGTAAGACAGACTGTATAATTCTGTGTTTATATTTTTACTAAAATGTGATATGTCCATAACTGAAAAAAAATTTCTTTACCGTTTTGGTGTGTACTCCTATGTAGCTATGTTATACATATGTTTTAACAGTATTCTATTATAAATCTAGAGGATAATTGATCTAAGTAATAATTTATAATGGGATATTTTAAGTTTAGGGTTATTCATCTTATTTTCTCTCCCTTCACTAGACTGGAAGCCCCATAAAATCTGGGTGTTATTTTGGTCACAATTATGTCTTCCACCCAGTAACTAGCACTGTGTTTAGAACAGGTACGTGAATACTAACTGGAGACATAATGCTTGGTTTCCAGTCCTAGTCCCACAACCTACTAACTGTATGAGCAAGAGAAAGTTACAAAATTTCTTTTTGGTTTCTTCATCCCTAAAATTGGGGATAATAATTTTACTAATGTGGTAGAATTGCTGTATTACATGGGATAATCTGGTGCCTGGCATATGTGAAGCACATCATGGATATAAATGATTTTTATTATAAAAGGTTAATTTTTTTAAAAGGTGAAAAACATGGAATCTATAAAATATGGACCAACAGACTTACGTTATAAGTTAAATTATTAAATATTTGGTTTAAATCAATCAAAATATAGCAATAATCACTGAGAGCAAAAGGCGGTTCAGTAAAATTTCCACATGCCACTTTTGTAAGTGAGAATGCTGTAGACTCTAGAACTAAATTGAAGCAAAACATTCTTTAGTCTCAAGATATTTGTATGATTAATAAACACAAAGGTACTTGAATTGATTTATACCTGGCTGAATAATAGCACCTAGAAAGAATAAATTGAAGCATCATTAACATATACTAAAGTGCCACATGGCTTTATGTTCCAATAGTTATCCAATTTTGCTTTTAATTACTGACATGAATGAAGGCATTAAAGTCATGTGTTTGAAATCGTGAATGTCACAAAGTTCAGAAAGGCATATAATGCATTTTATGATAAAAGACAAGGTTCAAAAAAATCTTAATGTCTGAATAATAAGTTACGAATAGAGTGATGTATTTTTGCATTAATAAAGTTTAATCCCTCCGTTTATAGTACAAAAAAAACCTAAATCACTTAAATGTAATACAGAGCTACAAATATTAATATGAAAATAAAATCATGAAAGTGTTATGGTGAAAAGCTGACTGTACATGTCAACACTGTAGTCAGTCTGCTGGAACACTAAGACAAGCTTTATACTCATTAATAAAAGGATCAGATGCAGAAATAGGTTAAAATAGGGACCATTTTAAGGGTGATAGGATGGAAAATATGAACACCTTGAGAAAGTATCATAAAATTTGAGGATGTTTAAGTTAAAGAAGACAAGATGTGCCAGACATCTCAATAGTTCTTATGAAGAGATGTTATCAGTTGATTCCTTGAAGTTCCGGAAAGCAGAAATAATGACAAGAAAAAACAAATGTAATGAAAAATCACAAAGCACGTATTTTCAATATAAGCAAGGTTTTCTGTTAATCCAAGATGTCACAGAACAGAATGAGCTATTTTATGAGTTCCATCCCGAAAATAGACAAGCTTGTGGCTAAATGATTATTTAAAAAGACCCTTTAGAGGTTTTCTGGAGAGAGTTTGAATTAGATGACTTCGATATTTACCACTTCTAAGGTGTTTGCTTTATTAGACTTTTTAGAAAAGTCCTGCATATTTCAATGGCAAAGTAAAACAGAATAAATATATGCACTATTAGCCCTTGGCACACCTTTAGGGAGATAATCAGGTATATTATGTTCTTCTAATCTTATTTATCTTCTTAATATTGCAGATGGAACCTATAAAACCATTCCACCTCAACTTCTAATTGTACCTTGGCATTGGGACAGACAGGTCACAACTGTTGCAAATAGTGGATAAAATGCAATATGCACTAAGCCCCCACTTAGTCTTCTAAGTACCCATAAATTAGATACAATCAGGTCATGTGGAACATTTGTCACCTGCAACTTCAGCTCCCTGTGTAACTAAAAGTAGCATGGATAGAACCTAGCTGGCAATAAATTACAACTATAATGGATCACACTAAACGCAAGAATTCCCCGTGGCTAATATATAACACATTGTAATCTTGTATTGGCATAGATTCTATTCTGCTGTTTAAGAAGGCCATAAATATATCAAATGCAGTTCCACTAAGTTGATTAGCGAGAGTTTAGGGACTCTAAACTCCTTAGGAATCTGTTAGGGAAATTTTGGGTTATTTTTCATAACTAGTGCAAAAATAAGTCACGGTAACCTTACCTTCTCTAATTCTCTTTAATTCTTTCACTCATGAAACAAAGAAGAAAGAAAGCTGCATTTAAACTGTGTGGGGAAAGTCAATTAAACAATTAACATTCATATATACCTAGGCATGCAAACTATTCAGTATTCTCTTGATTTAAAAAAAAAAGCAATGCTTAGCATAATACTCTGAATGTGTGTCTATATACTTGTATATTACCGTGTATGTGTGTGTATAGATTTTTATATGTATAAGTACAGTTCAGGAATGATATACACCAGCAGTTAATTAAAGTTACTTTTGAAAGTGGGGCTGGGAGTGGGAAGTAAGGGAAGAACATTTTTCAATAAACACTGAGGTAACTAAAAAAGTATTGCTACTAGATTTCCAGTTCATACATGCATGAGTTTATTCCAAACAAAATCTGTTTAAACATGTCTCTGCAATCAGTGATGGCTGTAGATAAGTTCTCTCAGTAATATACTTGTCTTAGTTCTTCAGGGTCCCTTCAAAAAAAACAGGATACTTTTTGTGCCATGGAAATAAACAATTTTGAGGTCAGGGCTAAGATTACATTTTTAACAAAACTCAAGTGGACATCTTCCCAAATCCTTGAAGCTTTGCAACAAGGTTATGGGAATGCTGCTGTACATAAAACAACAATCTTTAGATGGATCAAGCATTTTAAGGAAGGTCAGGAAGACCTCAAGGATGAGCCAGGAGAGGGAAGACCGCTCAGAAGGTTATGGTGACTCTTTTTATAAAATTTCAAAACGGGGTAATCTTTTTTTTAATTGCTGTGCTTTAAGTGAAAGTTTACAATTCAAGTTAGTCTCTCATACAAAAATTTATACATACATTGTTATGTGACCCTAGTTGCTCTCCCTATACTGTGACAACACACTCCTCCATTCCACCCCTAATTTTCTGTGTCCACTCAACCAGCTCCTGACCCTCTCTGCCTTCTCAGCTCACTTCCGGACAGGAGCTGCCCATTTAGTCTCATGTATCTACTTGAGCTATCATTTTATGTCCCACAGTCCAGTCTAATCTTTGAAGAGCTGGCCTCAGGAATAGTTTTAATTTTGGGTTAACAGAAGAGTCTGGGGGCCATGTCTTCTGGGTCCAAAGGGGTAATCTTGATAGATTTTCTCGAAGTTCACAGGATGATCATGGGGGCTTATTATGAAGAAATTTTAAGAAAATTGAAAAGTCCATTGGTGAAAAAAAGGCCAGGAAAGCCGCACTGAGAAATTTTTTTTTCCATCACAACAATGCACCATAGCAAGGGCTGTCCTGAGAATTTCATCAGGAAATCTTACCCCATCTGCCCTACAGCCCTGATCTTGCCCCTTCAGACTTCTTTTTGTTCCCAAAACTCAAAGAAAATACAAAAGGAACACAATTTGAGTCTCTCGAGGATGCCAAAACTGCCTTTTTGATGTGATGTAAATCGTAAATCAAAGAGAGCAGAAGAGATGGAAACACCACCTTCAGAAGTGTATAGACATAGATAGAGGATATGTCGAGAAACAATAGTTTCACATTTTGCAATTTTTGTTTAATAAATGTTTCTATGATTTTGTAGCAATATTTTTTGAGTTACCTTCGTTTGTATGAATTTTATAATTTAAAGAAAGATAAAATTTAAAAAAATAGAAAGTTTTGTTATGAGTTTTGCAGGCAGTCACTTAGGATTCAAAATGCAAATTAAACTTTTATAAGGAGATTACTGATGGAAACAGTGTAGCTTATAGCACATATTTTCAACCTAAGGAGAATTGGGTTTTTCTAAAAACCATATCACTTGAAGAGCTTAATGATTTGGGGAGAAAATAAATTTTTAACAAACTTGTATAGGGATGTACTTTATCTTTCATAAAGTGTAAGCAAAGTTTATCCAATCCTCATAGGCATGAATGTTTCTTGTCCTAATTTTTCCTCCTCTGCATCTACCACCTTTAAAAATTGAAAAATGTTCATTGTTTAACAAATAAACTGGGAGACAATGACAGGAAATAGTATGTGTTCTATAAAACAATTTAAAACAAAGAAACAAAGGAAATGACCAGTCAGAGTGATGACTGTCCTTCACATATTAAGCTTTACATAATGAATGATGTTTGCAGAAAAACTTGCCTGAAGAAGAAGCACATATCTGAAAATACAATTAGGTATATACGATATTTAGACTAATTAGTAGATATTTCAAAATGATTTATTAAGGAAATCGCAGCCCAATGATCATAATACAGAGCTTGGAATCATTAGTAGGGTCAAACCCTGATCATTGCCTCTGCTTTGCTACTCAGGGCATTTACATTTTTATTACAATTTTTTAGTCTCAAGCTTGCAGATTTTCAGAGCTGGGATCCACTTTTTAAAATAGTCCAATGTGTTCTATGTCACTTTGGATTAATAAAAATCTCTGCTTATATTGAAACCATATTGGTATAACATATCTGGAGGACAGTTTAGTAAAATTCATATAATTCATTGATCTAATAATTTAATGAAGATAAATGAGTTTATCTTCACAAAATAATAAGACATGTGTACAAAGATGTATTTACAACATTTTTCATGTAGCATTTTTGTAATCATCAAGAACTGCAAATAAACTATGTCCAAAATAGGTGATTATTTTAAAAAATATTCCTGTTTTTTATTTTTATCCAATAAAAGATTATGTGGCCATTAAAAATGATTATATTCACTCATTCATAGAGAAATATTTGTATTACAAATTATGTATTAAAAAGCAGGCTGGAAGCATAATGTATAATATATGATAATGTATAATCCAATAATGTATGATCCAATTTTAATTAAAAACTTGTATAAATATATATGTAACTACATACATATATGCATGAAATAATATATGGCAGGATAAATATTAAAAGTCATTTTCTCCAGATAGCAAAATTAATTTATGTGTACTGTTACTTTCTCCTATGTTTACTATAAACTTATATTATCTTATAATTAAATAAAACTATAATTTCCAGTTTTGATTAGATTTGGATTTAAAGAACAATTTACCACATGACTTGTCTAGCAGCAATGGTTTATGCTTTACACAAAACAGATATGCACTGGGTTAAGAATTTCCAGCACAAAAGCATTTATACTGTGATGAACAAAGCCCTAAAAGCACTGTGGCTGCATAAAAATTGAGTCATAAGAAATTTTGAAATTCAAAGCTTATGTAAGACATAGTGAACTACAGTAAAATAAGTTTAATTGAGACCTTTTTTCTATGATGGAAAATGTGACAGGTATCTAATATCTAAAGAAAACTCATTCAGATTAGAGTAAATTACTCCAGTGGGATTGTCTCTTAAAGCATATATGTGGTAAATAAACATTCTTTTTCTTATTTGTATAACCAGGGCTCCACTTGCATTTAGAATTTCTAATTTTGAAATGCAAGATTCTTTAGCTACTTGAGATTGAGAAAAATTGAAAGATTATGTACCCAAGGCAAGACCTGTAGCCTGAGGTCCATGTAACCTGGTGTCCACGTAACATTGGCAGTCAGGAAAAAAGACAAAGGCATAACTTCTTTCTGTTTATCTCTGACTCCTTAATTATGACCACAAATTCCATTTGTAAACAAAGCAAAACAAAAAAAGCTAAAAATGCCTCTACTTCCATAAGGCTCAAGGCCTGTATCTATTTTAATTCACATTTTGTAACCCTCACTACCAGGTGACACTACTTGTACAAGATGGTAATATTGGATCTTTAACATGACATTCCTTAACTATAGAGGCTTAAATTCACATATCACTAAGGCTTAGAGGATGTTTTATTTAATATCTTGTCATATTTCAACAAATGAGTTTGCCAAATTTCCAAACAACAAATACATTGCAAGTGAGCTTTACTTTTTTTTTTCTTTCAGAGATTTTTCCCCTGCAATATCCATTTAACATTTAAAAACTGTAGATGTCCTAGTCTGCAGCTTCTTTAATTTCCATTAGGTTGGTGCCATCTGACAAATTCTTGCATACAAACTATCTGTAAGTTTAACGTGACTATAGCATCCCTAATAAGAAAGAACATTTTGCATAGAAAGCAAATCAGTTTTGATTACTGCAGTAATTATTTCAAGAATCAACCTGGATGCTTCTTAAAATGATACTTGTGCATAGTTTTGCAATTATTAGTTTAGGGTCAAATCAATTTTAAAGGTGCTCCTATCACACTATTGGAGCCCTGGTGGTGCAGTGGTTAAGAGCTATGGCTACCAACCAAAAGGCTGACAGTTCAAAACCACTGGCATGTCCTTGGAAACCCTATGGGGCAGTTCTACTCTGAGTCAGAACTGACTCGACAGCAACTTTTTTTTTTTTTTAATCACACTATCGCACTTCAGCAAATGTAAAAAAATACTGCCCTTACCATAAATAAAAAAATAGTACTAATAAAACAGATACTGTTTTTGAAAAGTGAAGCTGATGTTTGACAAGTAATTAAAATTAAGACAATTTATAGGCTGGGAGATGAAACACAGTTTATTGATAATGATAGGTATCCTTTCTCTCTACTCATAGCTATGACCTAGAAGTTGTGCTTTCAATATTAAAATAAAGAAAAAAAAAAGGTTACAAAATGAAAGTAATTTACTAGTAAACCAGTAAATAATTATAAGTCAGCTTTTAGGTGATTTTAACAGAAAAGAAACAAAGAAAAAAGTATAATATATCAGTGGTCTAAAATAGATGACTACTTTACAGTTTTCCTAACATATTATAAAACTTCTGTGATCTGGATAATCCTAATGAAGGCCCAGTAAAAGATGCCATGTGAATAATGCAGGTGGGTGGATGCTTGTACCTAGACAGGTTATACCATTATTTTCATAAAAGCCAAGCCTTCTCTTCTAAAATATCTTCAGCCCATTTTACACCATTCAGACACCCAGACGAAGGTGCAAATTGTGGTACATGAAGAATGTTGTCCCAATGAAAAGAAGTAGTGAGGAGTCATTGGTGGGATGGGAGAAGCATCAATAGTAGTTTATTTCTGTGAGGAAGAGCCTATTCTGAGCTCAACCCTACCGTATCTATTCTCCATTGCTACTCACATTTAACATCTATCACCACTGCTCAGCTGAATTACGGGCCTCCCCAAGTAATCCAAGACCACATCCTGGTGAGGCAGTTCTATGTACTGTCCTCCTCACTACACAGTTCTTAAAGACTGGAATATAGAAATGAAACTGTTTAAGATATCATCTACTCCACACTCTATTTTAAAGAGAACATTAATGCTCAGTGATGAAGTGATGAACCAGTGTTTACTGTTTGTAAGAGTAGCCACCTGTTACTTCACCCACAAACTTTTTGTCCTGAACTCAACACCTAAGTAGCACTCTCACACTTTGCCACTGTTGGAAAGAAATGGATTATGGCTATGATTATGCTTTTTTCAACGGTCACTACCCTTTTTTTCTAAGTACTGTATTTTCTCCTTGTTGGGAAATCTAACAGCTTCCAGGATTCTAGAAGGGCTATATAATGTTTCTCTCAGCCACAGATGTTCTTTTCCTTTCTCATTCTTTTTTCTAAGGAGTTAACAAAAAGTTGTTTTTACCCTTTTGTTGATGTAGCCAGAAATAAACTTAAATTATATCAAGACAATTTTACGCCCCATCAACAAACCATGCAGATAATTAAATTATAATAAAGTTGTAACAAAGAGGCAAGGAAAAAAGAAAGAAAAATCACTAACATCTCTATCCAGAACTCTGCCTGTGCTGTTCAGGAAAAGCATTTGCTTAACAGGATCCAACAACACCCAGTAATCCACGTTGTCCTTTAAAGAGAGTTCTATAGTGGGATTTGGTCCTCCGGCTGTCCCTTTGATCATCATATTGTCCACTATAATCGTACCTGCAAACCAAAGACAGTTATTTGAAAACATTCTACTCGTATGCATTTTTTTCTCAAAGGTCATGTGCTCAAATACCAAGTTTCTAATAAATTTGTTTTAAAGCAGAAAATATTCCATTTTACATCTAGTGTGAGATAGAAAATGTTCTTTGTCAAAAAGCCAACAATACTTTCATTGTACTATTTAGAAATTATATTTTTGGGAAAAGAAGGTGGGAGGCAGAAATTTAAACCCTTGGTGAGTTTCATCGTCTATTTCTTGTTTTCCTTTAACGACATGAATCTGTTCCCCTCCCCGTCCATCACTTCTCACAGGACTTATCATTGAATTTTATCATGAACAAAAGGAAATGTCTGCAATAACAGAGCCTGGTACTTAAATTCATTCAGTAAGACTTCTGATATGAAAAGAGATATCCTGGAAATAGAGAGGAAGAAAAAGGAAGAGATAAAGAAGTAGCAGAGTATCCCATGGTGAAAGCTGCTTTTCTTTTTTCTCTTTTATCTTAAAGCAGATCCATAAAACATAAATCTTAATGTGAAAGAAAAAACTAGTGTGCAGACACACAATAGAAGCCATTCTTTAAGACATGTCTCGAGTACTTGACTAGAACAACACACATCCCAATGTAACATTTTGATGCCTCTTCTTGTATTATTTTTCCAGCAAGCTGAATTGCAGGCATTTGTTGAAAAAGAGTTGCAAAGAGAGTATGTCTCTAATCTTTCCTACCATGTTAAAGATCCTATGCATATTACAAGTTGATGCAAACAACACCGATGCTACTCAAATCGCCTTTCCCCCCCACCATAACAATGATCCCTTTGTCAAACAATAATGCAGTATACTTACTGGAATAATTTTCAACTGATCTATTTTATTAAACTTATGACATACAGAAGAGATGTGGCCGTGCCAATAAAAATGTGCCCTACTGAAAACACTAGAATAAATGGCAACTATCTAGGGAACTCATTGCCTCAGTTTACAATACAGGAATACACACATAACCCATAAGTGGAAATCTGGTTTGAAAAACATGATGCAAAATTTATCAGCTGTATTTTCTTAAGGCATAAAATTAGCCTAAAAGTTATACCATTGCATAACGAGTAAGGGGAGGGCTTTTATGGAAGATTTTTTTAAATCAAATAAATAATAATAATAATGGTCTATAAGATTTTCTTATCATATTGTTATTGATGAGTTATATCTGCGTAAGAAATGTTGAAAAGAACCATGTTTTTGTAATAACAAACTTAAATGTACAAACACACACACACACACACACACACACTTATGTAACTGGTGGGATTTTTCTTCTATTTTTTCATATACTAAACCAAAAAAAACCAAACCTGTTGCCCTTGAGTCCATTCAACTCATAGTGACTCTATAGGACAAAGTAGAACTGCCCCATAGGGTTTCCATGGAGCGGCTGGTGGATTTGAACTGCTGAGCTTTTGTTAGCAGCCGTAGCTCTTAACCACTGTGCCACCAGGGCTCCTTTTCATACGGTAAAACCTATTGCCATCACGTTGATTCCGACTCATAGCAACCCTATACGACAGAGTAGAACTGCCCTACAGAGTTTCCAAGGAGCGCCTGGTGGATTCGAACTGCCGACCTTTTGCTTAGCAGCAGTAGCTCTTAACTACTATGCCACCAGGGTTTCCTTTCATACACTAGCAACATATAAATGTTTATATCAAGGGAAACTGATGCTTCTATCTTTTGACTGAAATGGTAAACAGATAACTTAGAACACACCTGTAAGTTAACAACATTTTCTGAACCACCCTAAGAATATTTTCAAGGACCGAGTATGTACTTCTTTGCAAATACTTCACACATTTAACCTTTGGAAAATTGTTTGGTCTGTATTTCAAGATGTAATTAAGAAGTTAAACATAATTCTATTTTCTGATGAGAAAAAATTAAGAAACAGACAATAGGTAGGTCAACTAACATTAGCATGTATTCCTTGACTCAGTAGTGCATCACAGCAGCAACAGCAAATATCCTTACAATGTTCATACACACCAAGCAGGCACATTGAGGGAAGGAGGCATTTGACTCTCGTTTACAATGCAACTCAATTATAACAATGCAACTCAGTTATAACCTGAGCAAGTCGTAATAGTTATATTAACCACTAAGTCATGAAATAAAAACATTGTATCTGGAATTATCTTTCATTTAATGGTTGATTTTATTTTTTTTTAATTTCATGGAGAGGACTAAATATTTTCTTGCTCTCAGATTGTTGTGTTCTTCAATGGTTGAAACACAGCAATAAGTGTTCCTAGTGCTAGTGTGCCGAAGAAAAAAAAAAGAGCTTAGCTATTATTGTTTCATCAGAATACTCCATTTACATTGCTAAAATCTCTCCAGAGTATGATATGCTGTATTACTTTAGATCAAAAGTTTGGAGGACAGAGGGACGAGAGCACAACTAAGGCTGACATGATGCAAGGAGCAATAAAAAAAAAAAATAACCTAGGTTTTCACTCCGGCATGCCTGGATGATGTCCCCCACCTGTTCGCTCTAAATCTAGCTGAAGAGTGGATACCCAAGCTGAGATCAGCACTGAGCTAGGAGCTGTTCTGCTACTTCACCACAGCAATGGGGACTACATCTTCTATAGCTCCTAAGATTTCTGGACGTGGGCACCTGGTGTTCTGCAAGCAGTTCACCAGCAGCATACCCTGGTCATATGTGGAGAACGTGGTTCCATGCCTCTTCTCTTGCTTTGAAAACTGTTCCTCCCTCTAGTAAAAACCTTTTGCTTAACCCGTTTCATTCTTGACTTCACTTTAAATATAAAAACAGACAGGCTTAAAATAAAAAGGACAAAATAAAATGCACTATTAAACATTAATGAGAAAGCTGAATAGCTCTATCGATATCAGAGAAAGTAGACAAGAACAAGAAACATTATTAGGAGTAAAGAGATATATTTCATGATGATAAAAGAGTCAATTCTTCAACAGGTGTTGACCCTGAAGGCACTTGTCTTACAGAATCTGTGGTACCCAAAGATGGGATTCTCTGTATATGAAAATTTCCTTCCATCGTAATAAAGAATGGTGGCAATCAGAAAAAAGTAAACAGTTTGATACTGTTATAGAAGAGAACAGGTCCTGGACTTGCCAAATCTAGAATCCAATCCTGGATCCACCATTTACCATCTATGTGAAAAATGAATAGATGACTTAACCTCACTGACCTTCAATTTTCCTCTTCTATAAAATCAATGCCACAATAAAACAGGCATTTCTGCTATAACACTTTATGTTTGCTCCTGAATTTAACAACAACAAAAAACACTCATGTTCTTGTACATAAAAAACAATACATATGCCCTGAAACAGAGGTTAAGCACTCAGCTGCTAACTGAAAAGTCGGCAGTTTGAATCCACTGGCCACTCTGCAGGAGAAAGATGTGGCAGTCTGCTTTGGTTAAGATTTCAGTCTTGGAAACCATATGCGGCAGCCCTACTCTGTTCTATAGGGTCACTATAAGTCAGAATCCACTGGACGGCCATGGGTTTTATAAATAAATAAACATATATATATATCTATTACATATAATAAAGAATACTTGGACATTTAATGTGTTTCTCTGAAAAAGGTAGTTGCTTGTTTAAATAGGGAGTTATAACACAAATAGATCACTCTTTAAAAATACTGTGGAGGTGGTAGTTTGGGGGGATCACTTCCACTGGAAAAGCACTTCCATTGCCTTTCTAATTAACCTAATACAATGAAGCTGAGAGAGTAAATTCTGCAGGGATAGGCAGAGTAATTGACTATTTGGGTTTAGTCCAAACATTAAAAAAAAAAACAAAACAAAAAACACTCTATGCTTATAACCTACCACTTGTTGCTATAGTTAATAATTCAAAGTTGTGTAACCAATATGTATTGCATAAAAACTCTCCAATATTTTTTTCTCCAGTTTAAGCCAACTAGAAGTATGTTTAGCTACATCATATAGTGAGAAGCACCCATGGCTTTCCCCTTCTTTTCTCTCCCAACTATAAAAATAAAAACAGAGCTTCTAAATATATATTATTTTATTAAAATAAACTCTGAAAAAGTCAAAATGGAGCTAACACATAATTTTTCAGTTGAACAGTTAGCATGGCTATAGTTGTTTGTTATAGATTGAATTATGTCCCCCAAAAATAAGTGTCACAAATCCTAATCTCTGTGTCTGTGGTTATTATACCATTTGGGGATGGGTTATCTTTGCTATGTTAAGGAGACAAGATTATTGTAGGATGTGTCATGCGTCAATTTCTTTTGAGAAATAAAAGAGATTAAACAAGTAAGTGAAAGAGGAGAGATGGGGGAAATGAAATGCCAATCTACATGAAGATGCCTCGAGAGCTGAGAGAGAAAGCCTTCCTCTAGAGACAGCACCCTGAATTCGGAGCCTCTGAAACTGTGAAAATAAATTTCTGTTTGTTAAAGCCATCCACTTGTGGTATTTCTGTTATAGCAGCACTAGATAACTAGGATACTGTTATTGAGTGAAATTTTGATTACAAGTTTATTGCACTAAAGTAAGCCACTTTGTATGTTCAAATCCCCCTTCTTTGTTTTCTCACTTCTTGGCTTTCAATTTTATAAACTGTGCATTTCAGCTACACATAATGTACATATTGGATCTAGGCAACTACATGTCAAACTCTTATAGAGCAAAAAACATGTTATGTATGTGTTTTTTTGCCCACAGTGTCTAACTACTTGATAAAGAGAATATTGGTTGGCCTGTGTTTGAATGTTGGGGATATATTAATTGTATGTTACGCTTGCTAAAGATAAAAAATGATACCCTCTAAGTCAACAATAGTCAACAAAACTTACAAGTGTTAAAAACATATTGCTTCGCAAAACTATTGTTGGTCCTTACAATTTGTACTTTGTTTATCTAAAGGGAACAGACCATTGCAAAACAGGAGGAAAAGCGAGTAATAAAAGTGGACTTTG